GCTTATTCATATTCATGACAGGTTTTTATGACAGTGTCATGTCAGTCTTATTCAACCCCCTTCAAATAAAGTGTTACCAAAGCAACTAATGTGTCTAGTCATGAACAAACTTCAGAAATGTGGAATGTAAGTGAATCTGATTTTATGTTAAAACAGCTTGCCATAGGGCTTCAGGATCTGGCCTCCACTCTGGACTGTAGATATTCTCCGTCAGACATGTTTAATCCACCCAGCAGGGGGTCTGGCGGGCCGCTCGGCCTTTCATGCTGGAAGCTGAAGCGGAGGCGCTGATGCGTCTTCGCTCTGCTCCTCTCTGGCAGCTCAGGTCTGGGTTTTATCGGCCGTGCTGACGGCCTCAAAGACGGTATAAACTTGAACTTCAAAGCCTGAGGAAAGCCGCTACGCGGTGGGTTTTTAAAGTCGTCTGTGGATCTAACTGTGTTTGTTGGTTTCCCTCAGAGCGAGCGAAGAGGCGGAAGATGCGTGAGGAGAAGGCCTGGCTGCTCTCCCAGGGAAAAGATCTTCCACCCGAACTCCTGAACCTGGAGCCGTCTTCCCCCGTCAGGAGGACACGGAAGAGCAAAGAATTGTGAGAATGCAAATCAAACTCTTCCTCATGTTGCTGCTGAAAATTCAATGTGTTTAATCAAGATTTTGACTGATAAAAACATCACAAAGGGAATTATTATGGGATAGTGGAATAAAAATGAAGGGTTTTCAAAATTAAATTTTTTTCTGAATAACTGAACCAGCAGAACTTGAAAGTAAAAGCTAACAGCAGGAGAGGGAGTCGTTTAGTTGATGGCAGCATTATGTCAACTTCCATGAATCGCAGCCAACAGCCAGACCAGAGGCGGCTTCTATGGAGAGAAAAAAACTGAGAAAATATAAAGTTATCAGTGGAAATGACAGCAAATAATGCAGGTCAGAGAGCAACGTGAGTAACGGTGCTCAGTTAAGTACATGGATAACTCAGAAAAAACTAACACCTTAGATTGAGGCAGAAATAGTTCAGATCAAAGCATTTTCATGTGTTAGAACGGCCTAGTCAAAGTACATCTCAAACTGGAAACTGATGGTTCTCTGAGCTGGTGTTCCCATTCTGGGTCAGCTTGAAGCAAAACTGAAAGAAAACTGGTTAAAAAGTAAACGTCTCGCTGCTAAACATGATTCTGTAATATATTCACACAGAGAGGCTGAATTCTGCCGCACTTTTCAGATTATTTGCAGAAATGTTTTTTCCATTTTCTTCTTCTTCTCTGCGTTGTTTAACAAGCCGCTGTGCTCAGTGTTGCTCATGTCCAATCTTTGCCTCTACAGCTACGACATTGACGATGACTGCACCGCTCTTTACAAAGGTACGTTGATAAAATGACAATGCAGCTCCTCCGCTGCCCATCAGCGCTGAAGAGTTTAACCTGATCCCACCTGTGTTCAGTGCTGGAGGCCCTGAAAGCTCACAAAGACGCCTGGCCTTTCTTAGAGCCTGTTGACGACTCCTACGCCCCAAATTACCATGACATCATCCAGGTAAATTCATTTATATAAAGTTAATTATTTATCTTTAATGATGTTTTTTATAGGCTAATTGAATAATTTGACCTTTCATCCCGCCAGACTCCCATGGACCTGTCTACCATTGAAAAGAAGCTCGGTGACGGGGAGTACGTCGCCAAGGAGGAGTTTATTGCAGATGTGAAGCTCATGTTTGAAAACTGTGTGGAATACAATGGAGAAGACAGCGGTAAGCCAGCAGCCTCACAAACATGCATGGTATTAGTTATTAGAGGTGAGACTCCATTACAGTTATTAATCAAGTTGATTTCCGTAATTATGCTGCCGATGCTGCTTGTGCGTCAGACATACAGACCTACCAGAAACACACAGCAAAGCTTCTGGCTTGGGACTTTTTGTTTGTAAAAAAAAATAAAATTAAGGGCAATAAACTGCGTTATCATTCTGACTGTAGTTTAAACATAATTCAGAGACAGAAATCGTGTTGGAGGGGGGGTCCGTGTTGGAGGGGGGGGGGGGGGTCCGTGTTGGAGGGGTCCAGCGCAGCCTTGACAGTGATTAATGGGGAGTGATTGAGTTGTGCTGAAGGGGACCCGGGCTCTGCAGAGCCACAGGAACATTCCAGGCCCTAAGCGCTCTGTCTGGAGCCGTCCATCCAGCTGGGGCGGCGGGGGAGGAGAGATGCTGCAGGGCCTGAGGCGGGGGGGCGGCAACGGGGCCAACCCATGCCCTCTGACCTGGTCCCTTAGACAGATAGAAGCTGACTGCAGCAGGCCGGCTGGTCAGTGACGATGCGCTCTGTGATGATGAAGGTGTAAAAGGATTCATCCCCGTTTTACTAATTTAAACATCAGACAAAGAGAACCTGAGGAAAAACATCATGATTTTAGACATCCAAGCAAACCCTGACCCCGTATCAAAGAGTAACTCACCAACAAGAGGATTATGGCTACATTTTACCTGATGAGAGCCAGAGATCACTACCAGAACCTGGCTGACAGCATGAAGTAGGCCTGAAGAGCTCAAACAGCAACACATCATGACCTGCTCTAAAGAAAACATCTATCAGTCTGGAAAGAGCTACAGACCCATATCCAAGGTTCTGGTTCTCCAGAGAACCTCAGTAGAACTGTGATCCACACACGGACCAATGGAAAACCGGGTGGTTCACCAGAACCACCCAGAACTCCACTAGAGGAGTTCTAGGTAGATTTACAGACAAAAAATGTTTTGTATCTTAAATGCAAAATGTTTATATTTTTTGTACAATTTTGGCTTATTTACTGCAAGTATGCCGTGCTTTCAGCAAACTCCCTTTTTTTATTCTGCTTACTCTAGTTGTTTATTTCAATAATCAATTGCTGCTAGATATTAGAAATTATTCCGGAATATTTTCATGAAAGGAAACCTGATGCGTCCCAGAAGGTTCAGTGTTTCGGAAGGTCCGGTGTTCTTTAGGAATGTTGTCTGACGGTCGGTTTCTGTCTGCAGAATACACCGTCATGGCCGAATCTCTGGAGCGCTGCTTTAACCGGGCGCTGCTGAAACACTTCCCGTCGGAGGACGGCGACACGGACGAGGAGTTCCACATCAGTCGGGAGGACCGAGAACGGAAGGACAAGAAGCGAAACCGGACCAGTAAACATTTAGGACCGGAGAGCTTGATCAGGGCCACGGAGCAGGTCCAGCGTAAGAGGAATCCGCAGGGAAAAGGCAGCGCTCCTCCAGAGGCAGAGGACAGCCGGATGCCCCGACTGCAGCTCCCACCCCACTGGGCCAGCGGCCCGGCTCATGGCCCGGCTCATGGCCTGCCTCCAAACCAGCAGCACATGTTCCATCCAGGACAGCAGGTGATCACAGAACATCCTGGACCCGTGCCCACCTGCCTGAACCTGCACCTGAGCCTGAAATGAACCCAAACTAACGTCTCCATGTCTTATTGTCAGCTCCGTCCTCCAGCTGGTCCTCCCGGTCCGCAGATGTTCGCTCAAAGGATGGCCATGGATCCTCGCTTCAGCTACCCGGTCCACATCCCGAGGCCTGGAGACCCCAACTTCAGCCGCTACCCTCACAGTTTTAATATGCAGGTACAAAATAATAAAGACTACACTTAAACTTTGATTCCTGAGGTCTTTGACTTTTTTCAGCCTGGGACCCCCAAACTGACAGAGGGCTGGATATGCAATGAAATTAGCCCTAGTACGGCATAAAGCATGTTTAATACTGTGTACAATACAGACAACACAGCTTTAGTTCATATTTTTTATTTATATCAAACATCGGCTTGAATACAAAGGTAACAGCCTAATAATGCCACTGACATGAACAAACTGTTTTATTTTGCTTAAAACTTAACCTGTTGCAATAAACAGTAGATAATCGCATGATAAATTAAAACAAACTCAATAATTTCCCTTTGCATGATCTGTTGATTTTCCTCTTTTCTCTCTTTCTACCAAAAACTGGATGCTAAGTCTTCAGTCTGGTGCTTTGGTTTTTTGATTGCACGTTTTGCTTACAGAGACCCATAATTCATTTTATTTGTTCTTTCTGTTGTTTTGTTTATTTTGGATATTTAAAATGTCTTCCAGTTGCTGTGTAAAATGTTTATTAGAATTTAAATTTATTGATCTGTAAGAATGTGCTCCTGCATTATTGCCATTATATTACTTGAAAATCATTTCAAAACAATATTATTGTTTATCGCAATGACTTCTGGGGCTTCTGGGTTTCCATGACTACTTAAAATGCAGCACCTTTAACGTAAAAAACAGACTTTTGCTCACTGAAAGTGTAACTTTCTGCCTGAGAAACATCATTAATGCCTCTGTATAAATGTGGCAGATACCGACCCATACAATCACCACTAACAGTTAGCCATTAAGCTAGCGGGGCAGCTAGCATGCTAACACCACAATGCTGGTAAAGTAGAACATTTATGACACTCTTAAAACATAGTCCATAAAAGAGAGGCTGATGCAATAACAAATATTATATGATAAAAAAACTTTATGGGAATCATAAATATGGACTTTGCCATCCCTAAAGTTAAATAAAAGTAAGACGGAGACTCTAATGCTTGCTCCCACTGCACCATCTGTAGCATCAGCTCAGATGGTGCTACACATGTACTAAAAAATATTTCCAGAAGAGTATTTTTCTTTTTCTTTTTATGTTTTATTATAAGCATTAAAAATAGAATACATATAAAGATAAAGATGGTTTAATAGCAAAACTGCTTTGACCTCTATTTTTTGAAGAAATAAATAAATAAAATCAGTAAATGTATGTGCAGTTGTCCAATAATTAGGAAAGAGAGTAAGAAATGATCAGGGTAAATGACAGTAGTCCAGGGCCCCAGGTTTTTAGGGCCCCGCAGGTTTTATTTTATTTTATTGACCAATGCATGTTTTGGAGACATTGTGCTTTATAGAAGAGTCGCATCAGGTGAGTTGAGATTTTTATGAAAATAAGCAGTACTGAAGTACTTAAAAATTATGGAGTTACAGTATTTTTTAGTGGTGAAAGGATGATTGAACTTACCATCATCAGTTGGTATCATCAGTTATCAGTCATGTATGGCGTTACAAATGTAACGAAATTTATATTAGCAAATTAATTTTTCTTTAGTGGATAGGGCACCAAAACGGTTTCCAGCCCAGGGACCCACATCCTTGTAAATCCGGCCCTGGATGCACCAAACGTCTCACAGGAAGCACCGCCACCCTGTGGTGTAACTCGGTACAACACCTCAATTTAACATGCTTTCACCACCTTTTTACTCCTATTTTATTATCGATTAAGTAAAACGGTTTAATCACACCTCATTATCAATTTGTTACATGTTCGATTCATGGTAATCTGTATATAAAACTGCAGTATGTAACTTTTATTAAAAAAAATATATTACACATTTGATGAAACTGTCACTGAGAAAAAAAGTCAAGCTCTTCTGCCTTCTCCCAAAGCTATCCAGAATCAACCAATTAGAGGAAGGAGGCGGGGTTTAGCTGGCGCTGCCTTCCTCTTTGCTATGCCCTGTCAGCAGATAAAGTTTTGAACGCTAGGCTAGTTAGCTTGGCCACTGATGTCGACGTGTAAACGGTTTCCTGTAACGGTAAGCTGTTTCTCTGCCATTAGCATATTGTGCAAGTACATGAGGTTGATTGACAGCGCTAAGCCCCTCCTCCGTTCTTCAGACGGCAGTAACAAGGAGGAGGAGGAGATGGATTTTTTCACAGATTATTTTATAACAAACGGTCACGACATGGTGACAGCTTTAACAAACATGAGAAAACATTCTTTATACAAGTTACTGCAGCTTTAAAGACAAAACTGTATAAAATGACATGTAGGATCCTCACGTTTAAGGAATCTTTGTTCCTCTGCCAGTAAACCTGCTGTGCATGGAAACCAGTCAGCCCAGTTAACCCAGTACTGTTTTTGTGTTATGTAGACTCATTTGGCTGATGGACATCACATGGGCCCCAGGTATCCAATGGGGCCGGACCCTAACGGGGGCCCTCCACAGCAGCGGCCCTACATCGGTCCGACTCACGGTCCGTCCCTGGGGCCGCGCCCCACGGCCCTCCAGCCCAGCCCTCCCCCCGAAGCCAGCATGTACCCGTCCCACCAGCGCCCCGAGGGCCGCTCCTTGCACCCCATGGCCAGCCAGTTTTCTGGCCCCGAGGGTCCCGCTCAGCTCCCCTACCCCGGCCTGAGGCCCCCCGGCCTGGGCTCCTCCTCCGGCATTTGGCCCGGCGTGAACGGCCAGGACCGGCTGAACCCCAACGCCGCCAACCAGCGCGGCTTCAGCTACGGCGGCATGCCCCCGCCGATGGGACACAAGCCGTGGCCGGAGGCCGCCGGTTACCCGCAGCATCCCCACAACGCGCCGCATCAGATGTCCAGCTCCCTGGGGCCACTGGCCTCGCGGGCCCCGGCGCTGCAGTCGGACCCGGCTGGCAGGACTCAGTCATCTTCCATGCTGGAGAGCCCAGAGATGCTGGCCCTGCAGCAGCTGTCGGCCTCCTCTGGACCCCCTGCTGGCGGCTTTCATCAGCCGGGGCCCCCATCAGGGTTTGGCAGCATTCCCTCCAAACAGCTTCAGCTGCTGGGTCCGACTGGAGACAGAGGGACGGACGGCCAGCCGGACACGGAGCCCAGAGGTAGACACGACCTTTCATTCCTCCATTTCTGTTTGACGGAACCAAACGCTTTCCGTCTCAACGCTGAAAGAATGAACTCCCTCTGCTTGGCTTAGTTATCCCTCACAGCAGGTCGCTCAGTCGGTATTCATCAGTTGTCCTCAATAGTAATCAATATTCACCTATATTCATCAATATTCACCTATATTCATCAATATTCACCAGCTTACTTTCACAGCTTCTGACGATTAATGATTTACTGATTTCTCTTTTCTCTCTTTCTACCAAAAACTGAATAAGTCGTCAGTCTGGTGTTTTGGTCTCAACTAGCCCTTTTTTAGAGATAATTTTGTTTACACAGACTTCATAATAATTTCTATTTGCTCTTTTTGTTTTGTTGTTTATTTTGTATGTGTAATTGAAAGTATATTCATCTTTAAAAATTCAGCACTGACCACTGCACTGAATAGTTTGACAGTATTGGTATCTGGATAATTAACGAGGCTTTGAGGAATAATTTCAGCCCTGAAGTCGATCTGCGTTTGTCTCGATGTTCTGCTGACTCGTCTATTTTCTGTCCATCAGGTCCAACGTCCAACACCAAAAACGACGTAAACATCTGTAATGAAGCAACGCCACAGAGAAGCGTTCACGCCATGAGCCTGGAACTGGCCGCCACTCTGAGTCCATCGGGCCGCCCCACCGGGTTGGAGCGGACGGCCAGTTCCCAGACCCGCCAGCAGGGGGCGGACGGGCTGCCAGAGGGCTCCGCCCGGTCTCACGCCGCCTCCCCCCCGCCGTCCCCGCAACGCGCCCCGCTCAGCTCCCTGCCGCCCAGCCGCCCCTCCACGCTGCTGCCGCCCCAGCCCAGCGCGGCGGGGCCGGGCAGTCAGCGGCCCTGTGAGGCCGTCGGCAGGCCCGACTCGGAGGCCCTGATGTCCGCCGCGCCCGGCATCTACAAACAGTTCAGCAGCCAGACCCCACCCATAGGGGGCGGCATGGGGGGCAACAGAGGGAGCAACGCGGCCCAGAGGGGGCCAGGTGGCTACAGCCCCGTGGCACCGCCCCCCTCCCAGTACGGCCTGAGCGGCGCCCTCCATGCACACTACAACAAGGCGCCGTTTCCCAGCCAGTCCGTAAACGCCCCGCCCCACCCTGCCTACCAGCAGGGGGGCAGCAACGCCTTCCCCTACCAGCAACCGCCCCCTCCCCTCAGGAACATGTTCTCTCCCCATCAGTACCAGCAGCCGGCCTACTATGGCCCGCCGCTCAGCAGGGAGGGGTACCAGCCCCCCTATCGGCCACAGCAGCCGGACGCCCCCAGCGCATACCTCCCTGTGGGCGCCGCCAGGTCCAACGGTCACTTCAAGGACAGCGCTGCGTCACCGCCGGGCTCCAGCCGCGCCGCCTTGCTGTCCCCGGCCGGCTCAGAGGAGGGGGGGTGCGCCGAGGCGCCGGCCGGTCCAATCAGCAACCAGACGGCTGAGAGCTCAGAGCCGCCGGAAAGCCCGAAGGAAATCCTGGACCTGGACAGCCACAACGCCGCCGCCCGCCACCGGGGAGCGCCGCCTCTCCCGCTGCGGCACGCCCATCCGGCAGGGTTCATGTATGACCCCCGAGCGCTGCACCCCGGCATGCAGCAGGGTGGCGCCCCCCCACCTCACATGATGCCCCAGGCGGCGGGCAGCGGGACGCCGTACCCCGGCCAGCCGTATCCGGACCCCCGCTACGCTGCCCAGAGGCCCCACCCACACCTGATGGAGGCGCTACAGCGGCCCCAGCTGCCCTACCCCCCCGGGCAAACGCGCATGGCCTTGTACCGACACCCCAGAGCTGCAGGGCACTTCCAGGGCATGATGGTCCAGCAGAGGGGGCCGGAGCGCTTCCTGCACCCGGGGTAACTAATCCGCTTCTTCTACATTCTGGGCTTTCAGAGATTTAAAGTAAATTAGTCTTTATTCCTCCTGAAACTTTCATTACGTCCAACAACTTGTTCAGGATTAGTATTAATCTGACAGTTTTAAAAGGTTTGTCAAGAGGCTCAAGTGAGATGCTTCACCTGGATCTCACCTGACCCTCACCGGCCCAGGCGAGGGTCCCGGTGAGGGCCCAGGTGAGGCCCGTCTCATCAGGATGGTTACGCAGGAAGGCCAGAAAGTCAGATAAAAACAACTTCACACAAGAGCCAATCAGCTCACAGTTTATTGCCACATTAATAATAATTAATATGAAATAGCTGAGCATCACAACGATGACGGGATTTAAATAAATCTCAGAATCAAACATGTTGATTCTGAGTCACAATTTAGTTTTAGTTTCATCATCATGATTTACTTTCTTCAGATCTGTATAGATTCAATGATTGGTTCAGCCGAGACGAGACTGTAATATAGAAATACATTCTGCTTTTGAGATGATGGGAATTTTTGCTCTTATTGATGACGTTCAGTCCACACTTCTCACCAGTAGGTGGCAGTAATGTTCCATTAAGCTGTTTGCCAATCACAGTCCTCAGTTTAGGTTGAAACCAGGTGAAGTGCTTTGAACAAAAAGGTTTAAACAGAAGTTCAAACGGGGCGACTGGTTCTGGTTCTGACTCGGTTGGGCCCAGGATTCTAGACAGACCTCCTCTTGGTGGCTTGGTAACATGAGGGACAGATCAACCAATCGGAAGCAAATCTAGGTGTAACTTCAGTTTATTAAAGTGACTTTTAATGTGCGGTTTGTATGCTGTAGCAAAAGGTCCTAATCAAAGTTCACATGGTTCCAGGCAGCAGATGATGGCCACTCCTGGAGGTGCTGGAGCGAAACAAGGACTGTAAAAATCTGAAGATCAACGTGAGTAGAAAACCTGACGACAATCTGGAGACTTATGGAGGAAATCCGTTTTTATTTATAAACACCTGCTGAAGTTGACCGTTAACTGACCTTCATTCTCGCCTTTCAGGTACGGATTCAACAAACTGCTGGGACAGACAGGAAGTCCGTCCCAGTGGCTGCCGCTGTTTCCTGCTGGGAGGCTCCAACCGACCAGCTGCCACAGCACACAGAATAAAATGTGAAATAGTTTTGAGCCTCAGAGATCAAACCTCCTCCTGACTGTTTCTTCCAACGCTGAAGCTTTTATCCTGGAACGAAGGGAACCCCTATAACCACTAGGTCAACCTGTGCAGCGCCAGGGACGCTGCCTTCAGGGACGCCAGGCAGCCGCAGGTCGTCTCTTAATCTCGGGTGTAGGAGAGGCGGGTCCTGAGCGGCCGCCTGCTGATGCCTTCTTCCCCTCTGTGAATGTATGGTTAATCTTTTAGACGACAAGCGCAGCTCCGCAGTTGCACATGTAGGGACTCTGATTCCTGCCGTTTCTACCCATAACTCTAAAAGCGTCTCTAAACTTCAGTATGCACCGTTCAGCGCTGCCTTGATTTTACGAATGTCCTGACAGGAAGCGGTTGCTTCCGTGATTCTCTGTTATGCACTATGAGTTCAGTCAGTCCAGATTCCCCCGAACTGAGTGGCCTTCCTCAGAACCTCTGAAATGATTAGATATCGGCTTTGTACTACTGAGGTCCCGCCGGTACGCTGCACACGCATCCATCAAACACGCAGCACAAAACGAAGCTTCTTGTGTTCAGAGTTTCAGGTGTCTTCCTCCTCCTCCTCTTCCTCCTGCTGTTCGTGGTCAGGTTCTCCTCAGGGTGTACAGATGCAGATTACGGGTATTTTTGTGAATCATTCGAGGAAGGAGCAGCACGCCGAAACTTCTGTTATCCCCGACCGGCTGCCTTTCTGCTTGTTTTTCTCATAAATGTGTTTTAGTTTCTTCTGATTCTTATTCTGCTTTCCTCTTCATCTGATCAAAGTCACTTTGGATAAAAATAAATAAAAATTCTAGTTTTCTCGCTTTTCATTGTGACTTGTGGCAGTTTAGTCTTTAGTGCGGTTTAGTAATGATCTGAATCTACCTCATCTAGCTGCTGGCTGGCGTACATTTCTTCTCCTCCCAGACTCTCCCATCAGTGTACCATCTCTTTTAAACCCCAGTGCATGATGGGAAATCTGGTTGCAGTCTGTTCGGAGTCCATTTGAACCCACATAGTTTAATAAATGCGATGTCTGGAAACACTGGAGGGAGTTTCCCTCAACGTTTTATCAAAGTAGTGAAATGTAAAAATAGCAGGTAGCATCTAAACAGGTTGAGAGTTTGTGTGTGCGTGTGTGTAGGTGTGTGTGCGCGCGTGTGTGTGTGTGCATGTGTGTGCGCGTGTGTGTAGGTGTGTGTGCGCGTGTGTAGGTGTGTGTGTGTGCGCGCGTGTGTGTGTGTGCATGTGTGTGCGCATGTGTAGGTGTGTGTGTTTGTACTTGCCGCCAGTTGACTGGAACCGATTCTCCCTCTTCTGCCATCTCTGCACTAGCGACAAACCCATTTAGACGTGATTAAATGTGAATCATATTTATTTGTTCTTTTAAGATGTTTTGTACATTTTTGGATTTGTTTTAATGTAACTTTTTCCCTGTGGCGTTTTTAAACCGTCGTCCTTTATCTCAGGAGGACGGCGGCTTTGGGAGGAGGGGAAAAAGTCTTTTTGTTTTTAAAGTGGAGTTTACATGTTCTTATCTGACTGACATGGATTATTTTGGGAATGGAATGGATTATTTTCTATACTGTCTTAGAAATAAAAAACGTTTCTCAACTCAGAGTTAGTTTTATCTGTTTTTTGAGGTTTCTGTAGTTTGACCACAACATTACAGAAACTTTTTCCTGTGGAGCCTCTTAAAGTGAGGATGTGGTTTGTAAAAACTGTCAAAATTAACATCAGTAATTTTGTCATAAGAGGAAAGAAATGTCTTTTTTTCAGCATTTTATTCATTCACTTATGTCAGTTTCAAACTAAATATGTAATTAGCAAACTAAAGCTACAAACTTAAAATATTTGCTAAATCGTTTGAAGATAAGTATTTGGGTACAAGCTAAATGTTTAGTTTGAGGCCAAAGATTTAGCTTGCAAACTAAATACTAAGCTAAGTGTTCAGTTAGCAAGCTAAATCTTGAAAATATTTAATTTGAAGTCAAATGTTTAGTAAGCTGAAGAATTTGTTAGCAGGCTAAATATGTTTAGAGCCAAATATTTGCCATTTGGCTTGCAAATTAAATATTTGGTTTGAAACCAAATAGTTAATTATGAAGCTATATATTTGGTTAGCAAGGTAAATATTTAGTTTTGAATTGAAAATTTGCTTATCAGGCTAAATATTTTTTGTTTAAAGCTAAATATTTTCTATTTAGCTTCAAACTTAGTAACTTTTTCCAGCTGATTGCTCTACATGCTTTGTCTGTCCCCAGCCTGTCAGGCAGGTGGACATCCATGTCCAGGTAGACCTGCAGGTGACCCACAAAAAGTCTTAAAACACATTGAAATGTTCAGTTGTTACACGGCAAAAAATGAAGAGAAATAGAAATATAAACAGCCTTTATTGTCCTGAAAAAAGTGTCAGCAGAAACGGATGAAAAGGTTACAAAAACCCAAAAGTTAAAAGAAAGTTTTTTTATTTGATCAAAAAACAAGATTATTATTAATAACAATAATAATAATAATATATTGTACAAGACTGTAACAGAAAACAGAGAAGATGTGTGAAAACCTTTGTAAAATACAATAAAAAATGTCATAATCAAAATATATAGAACTAAGACATTTTGTTCATTAAAATTCTGAAACGTTTCTATTATAACTGTTTTTTTACTAAGTTGATTCTTTAGTACAGTGATACTTCAAGATAATGTTACTCAGACACTCCTGAGCTACTCAAGCAATATAACCAATTATATCACAGCCCTGATTAGAAATACAGGTTTTGTATTTGCTAAAAATAAAGTTGGAAACTGATATATTTTTGTTTTTACTTAATTTTCACAGAAGAAAATGTCTCCATCCTCTTTTTGAAAAACATTGGTTTATATTCTAAAACCTAAGGACAGAAATAAACTGTTGGTTCTTTAAAAAAATCCTATTTATTAATAATTATAAATATTCCTTTTTTTTTTCAGAAGATCGGGTCATATTAGGGGGTCTTGGTGGGTAAAAATGTTTGGATCAAAAAGGCAACAGCACCCTGTTAAAACTTCATCCCACCTAGAAATTAACCAGTTTAAAAGGGCGAACAAAACACAATTAATACATTCAGGTGCTAAAAAAAGTTTCTATCCTCTTTATGTAAAACGTTTTTCAGTTTTATTTATTTTAAAACCTAAGAAGATAAATAAAACCCACCAAAACAAAAATAATTTGAAAAAAGGATTTCCTTTTCCTCCTCTCGCCGTTGTCTTTTTACATCAGATGAACCAATAAAATAACGAGGAACGTCCTATTTCAGCCAATCACAGCATAGGAGGCGGGGCTTTGTGCCTGCAAGTCAGTGCTCAGGGCATGGTTCAGCCCACTCTCGGTTTAGCAGCGAGTTTATCTGTGACAGCTCGTCAGAAAGTGGTGAAAACAGCTCTGTCCGTCGCCGTGTCCGTGAGTAAGTCCTCTTTACTGCCGAAGTGACCCACAGCCGGAGCGAAACTACCCTGCGGAGCCTTGTTCCTCCACCTGCTGCCCGAACCAAGCCGTTAACAGCTCAGCCAGGTAATGTCACATTTATCCCCTTTGTGTCTCCAAACAGCGACGTCTTCCTGCACCTTTATTATCAGCTTCCCAGCTTCTGAATTTGTTAATTATCGGCTCATTCTGCTTTTAAGCTGGCTGTTTCCTACATGTGAGGAAGGTTTAACTGCTCCTCTGCAAAGCGACTATTTTCAGTTCTACACACACAAGCAGCGGTTCTGTTTGTTTCTGCTGCCGTTACTTTTATACAGAGACATTTTTATCCTCAGTCCAGATAAATAAAACCCACTTATGTGACCCGACCTTCGGAAAAAGTATTATTATTATTATTATTATTATTATTATTATTAATACGGGTTATATAAATATCATTAATATTAATATCAACAGTAATTATAATATTAATAACAATAACAACTTATTTTAATTATTGATTACTTTTGTGGCTCCCTGACAATGAAAACAAAATGATCAGAATATTAGATTTAACCAATGACTGTTAAAGAAGATGGCTGTTCAGAGTGCTGTATAAGGAAAGTTCAGTGAAAGGAAAAGGTTAAAAATAGGTCATGAAGTACAGTGAACAAATTACTGAGATAAATGTAACTTTTTAATGAAATCCTAGAATAGAAATGTTTTTGTCAATGTAACAGTGAAACATTTGCATAACAAAATGTTTCATTTGTGCAACACATTTATCTTGTTTTCTCCAGATAAAAGCAGTGTCTCACTTAGAAAAACTTGTTACATATTACTTATTTTGCTCTTACCTGCCGATTGAAAAAGTTAACTGAAACTAAAATAGACATTAAATAGACTAATTTACCACAAGGGGGCTGATGGGTAAAAATGTTTGGAGCTACACCTGCAGACTTTACCTGTAAGTTAGCTCTGCTCAGTCTGGTGGGTTAAAGCTAAATGTGCTTCAATAAATACAGAAATTATTGTATTTCTATTTGGCATACAATGTGTAGAGCATTTGTTTTCCACATAAAGCAATTTAAATGAATCAGTCAAGTTTATTTGTATATTACATCTCAGCAGTAAGGCAGGTCAAAATGCTTCACATCATAAAAACATCATGCAGTGACAAACATTACGTCAAAATCATCAGCACACATTAAATACGTTGGCCAGTGTTTCATATATTATGACTCAAAAGCAGCTCCAACCCGGTGGGTTTTAACCGTGATTTTAAAAAAACTCAGTGTTTCAGCTGATTTTCAGTTTTCTGATAATTTGTTCCAGATCTATGCACATAGAAACTGAATGCTGCTTCTCCATGTTTGGTTCTGGTTCTAGATGCAGAAAATCAGAACCACTGTTTATTTTATAATTTGTTGAAACACTTATAGAAAAATTAATTCATGCATCTAAACTGTGTCAGTTTTGACTTTCTGTCTGGTAATTTTTTCTCTCCAGTTGTCGGAGGATGGCAGTCCGGCTGCAGCGCCCCCTGGTGGCGGCGGCCTGCCTGTTTCTGTGCTGCCTGGCCGGGGTGCGGTGCGGCCCAGACCCCAGGCTGCGGAAGGAGCTCATAGACCTGGAGGCGTCCATGCAGATAGGCGGCAGGATGGTGCTGACGGACGCTGAGCAGCGGCTGGACGCTCTGCTGGCCAAACTGAAGCAGGACGAGATGTCCAGGAAAGACTTCCCTCCCTCCATGCACTTCTTCAAGGCCCGGCGCCTCATCCAGGCGAGTCCCCTCTTTGGGCTGCTGCAGGAGATGCCAAAAGGTAAAAAGCAGAACAAGTTCAGCATGACTTACTGATTTTTTTCAGTGTTGTACATATCTGGTTTCAGAAAATAATCTCAGTTCTTAGATTTTATGCTCCCAAAGACAAAAGGTTTATGTGCACCAGCAGACCTGCAGAACTACAATAATCAAATGAGATATTTGCTCATTTGATTATTGTTCCTAATGTTATACGGTGGGTTAGGTTTGCATGTAAACTGGTTGCAGTCGAGCCTAAAAAGTTTATTTTTATAGCAACATTTCACAACAAACGTCGTCTCGATTCACTTTACAAAAAAAAAGCTCATTTCAGTTCAGTCACATCCGTTCCAGTTGACTGGATGTGGATTATCAATCAGTGCATTAAGTTCAGTTCTCCTGTGATGTCACACTCACAGCATTGTAACTGACAGCCATCTTGGTAAGCAGTTGCTATGGAGTTGCTATGACAACAATGAGCCAACAGCACAACAGATGTCATCTCAAGACATCTTTTTTTTTCTTTACAAAAAAGTAATTTTAATCCAATCATTTATCCTAGATAGAAATTAGTTCAGTTTATTATTCAAATTAATTTAAAAAGTTTCCGTCTAAGGCAGGGGGGCCCAAAGTCGGTCCTCGAGGGCCGGCATCCTGCATGTTTTAGTTCTCTCCCTAGTGGTAGTAACAACCTCCTCAGCAAGTCAATGTTCTCCTTAGGCCTTATAACGAGCCATCATTTGATGCAGGTGTGCTAAACCAGTGAGAGAACTGAAACATGCAGGATGCCGGCTCTCCAGGACCCACTTTGGGCTCCCCTGGTCTAAGGAAACCCAGCAGAGCATCGAGTCGTTTACTTGAAGGAATCCCTCAAGCCAGGCATGCATGTGGAGGCAGTGGAGAGGAAAAACTCCCCTTTAACAGGAATAAACCTTCAGCAGAACCAGAACCAGAACCTGGCTCAGCACCAGTGGGAGAATAATTATGTTGTTTGTGCAGTTTTAGTCAGGAAATGGGTCATTGTAGTGTTCCTGGCCACTTTGACCTGAACAGGATGTTTGTGTGCTTCAGTAAAAGTTAATTTGATACTAAAACTCAGAAGGGAGTTTAAGTTTGGATAGAGAAAAAAAATAATAACTCCAGCTGTGGAGCCAAGCGAAGGTAAGGATGCTATTGGTCGAAACATCCAAACGTTTCAAGGTCTCATGACCATTGAAAGTTGGGAGTCCCATGAGTTCAAAACTTTTCATTCCCTTCACCATGAGCCACGACCGGTTAGAGAAGACGGAGCAGAGAAAATCAGAAGAACTGAACCAGGAGAACTTTCTATGGTAAAGCAGCAAGATACTGGCAGCCGATTAAGATGGCATGATCTCAGCCAATCAGAACCGACCCGAGAGAAAACATGAAGTTAACAGTTGAAATAGCAGCAAATAATGCAAATTGGAGAGTAGTAGGAGAAGAAAGTGAGGAAAGGTGGTTAGTTTGATCCTCCAGAGGAACAATCCTAACAACACTTAGATTAATATTGTTACTTCCACTAACTAACGACTAAACAGAAACAAACTTTTTCTGTGTTTTATTTAATTCACTTACAGTTTAAAATGAACATAAATGAAAAATTTGACTGAGAAAAAATGTGTAGAAAACAATCTTGTATAATCCACCCAACAATCAACCCACATAGATACATTTTTAAACATAACAATGTGTGCATATAAAAATAACATGAACAAATCTGTTTCTTTGGTTTTTAATGGTTAATCCCACCTGGCAGGCGCCGTCCTTCACGTCCATGACTTCGCCATGGTGGACGTGGAGTGGCTGGTGAAGAACGCGACGTATCGCCCGAACTGCTACATGTGCTTCACCGACAGCGCATCCGTCCGCTTCGTCTTCGCATCACAGGGGCCCAAACCTGTGGAGCGCTGCTCCCCCTGGGTCCTGCTGGAGAGTCTGCGCGCCAAGATGGGCAACGCAACCAAGCTGGACAACAGGTGACTCCCCACTTCCAACAAGTTTCACACTAAAGATGGAAAACTAATAAATTATTTATATTTTTTTTGCTTCAGACATTTTCCAATAAAAATGGCCTAAAATCTTCAGTTACACAAAAGTTTGGAGGTTAGACATAAGTAATAAACAATGCAACTAGACAGGAGTGGCAAAATTATTGGCACCTATGGAAAATATTTGTTGAAGTCTTTTATTTGTTGTTGCATATTCTCTTCTATGCAGATTTTTTGCAGAAGTTAATTTTTAGAAATGAGTGTTTCTTTGTTTTTGAGTCTGTCGAACCATTGCTGTTTGATCAGTATTGCTGCCAGATTACACTGGATTTTTATTGTTCTGATATTGAAAACAGGTTTTCTAAACAAGGTTTCTAGAAGCAAAAGGGACCCGCAGCACCTCATGTCCTCCACCATGCTTTAACAGAGTATGTTTTTCACCCAACAAGCGTTGCAGAAGTCTCAATGTAAGAAGAATCTGCCTGACGCTCAATCTGAGCTGCATGTTTGATAGAAACTGACTGGTAGTACCGACTCCCACCACCAGGCGTCTCTCTTTCCCTCCACATGGTGGAGGTTGAAGCTGTTTCATCAATGCTCTGATGACTGCATATTTAACTACTTATGAAGCTTAACAAACATTTTCTGACTTGAACAGCATGTTCTCTTGTCTTTCCCATTATAAGGAGTTGGTAAGAGAATTTGGATGCAAATGCGTTTGAGTCCCAGGGAAGCAGGAAGTCAGGATCACTAATTAAAGGTTTCTAGACCTATAAAATGCTTCACTTATGTTTGTCCTTCAGAAATCTTTGGGAGTTGTCAGTTTGGCGCCACCTACTGGGTTAGAAACAATATTTTTTTATTTTTCAGTTGGATAAATGTGCTAAAACTTCACAGTTAAGTTTGTGCTGCTCCAATAAAAGGATAACTTCATTTTAAGGACGTTTACACATTTAATCAGTTTTATAATTTTTATTGTTATATCTGATTGTTGATCATTTCTGAGAAAGAAACAATGTGGAATATTTTTAGTTCAGTTTTTCTTTTTTATTGGCTTTGGGATTTCTGTTTTGACAATGAAATTTTACTTTAATTTAAAAACCATTTACCATTTATTTTCAGGTTTATTTGCATACTTCAGCATTTCTTTACTTCATAGAAACTTTGTACAGTCATCAATTATGAAACAAGCAAAAGAACAGAGAGGGAATCAGTTTCCTATGCAAACTGTGTTTTTTATTAATATTCATTTAAGGCATTTTTAAACAGGATAGTGGTCCAGTCCAAGTAAAATTCTCTCAAATTGTTGTTTTTGTCATAAAACTGTATTCTGGAGCCACATAAACATTAAATCCTTTAACTAGTGGATTAGTTAATATTCAGTAATATTCTAGTTATTCCAGCTGCAAACCAGATGGTACCAGGGGCCAGTTGGACCTTCGTTCTTCATCATCCTCCTCTTCATTGTCTTTCTCTTCATCATCCTCCTCTTCATTGTTCTCTTCCTCAGCATCAGAGGTAACCTGACGCTGTTTACGGACCGGGACCCGGAGACGGAGTACCCCAGCCAGGATGTGGTCTGGAACCGCTTCGAGGCGGCCTTCGGGGCCTTGTGGGGGCTGGTGACCTTTGCCCCCGTCTTCAGGGATTACTACATGGAGGCCCTGAACCAATTCTACGCAGACAATGTCATGTACCTGGAGCTGCGCGCGCTCCTCCCTCAGGTTCGGACCGGACCGCCATGACAGCGACTCACCCCACCAGGTGTTAGCCAGGTGTTAACCAGGTGTCAACGAGGTGTTAGCCTGGTGTTAGCCAGGTGTTAACCAGGTGTTAGCCAGGTGTTAGCCAGGTGTTAACGAGGTGTCAACGAGGTGTTAGCCAGGTGTTAGCCTGGTGTTAGCCTGGTGTTAGCCAGGTGTTAGCCAGGTGTTAACGAGGTGTTAACGAGGTGTTAACGAGGTGTCAACGAGGTGTTAGCCAGGTGTTAGCCAGGTGTTAGCCAGGTGTTAGCCAGGTGTTAGCCAGGTGTCAACGAGGTGTCAACGAGGTGTTAGCCAGGTGTTAGCCAGGTGTTAGCCAGGTGTTAGCCTGGTGTTAGCCAGGTGTTAGTCATGGTGTTAGCCTGGTGTTAGCCTGGTGTTAGCCTGGTGTTAGCCAGGTGTTAGCCAGGTGTTAACCAGGTATTTCACCTGCAGGTGTACGAGCTGGATGGCTGCACCCACGACCAGGCCTGGACCCTGCAGACCTACCAGGACCTCACCAAGGAGTTCATCTCCACTCACCCGGACTTCTACGGAGCCAGAATCATCTTCACAAATCACAGGTGAGTCTGAACCGATCAGATTCGACCCGTCATGTCCAGAACCTGGCACTTTTCATGGCAAGTCTTCAAAGTTGTCCAGCACACAGGGCTGTAGGTAACAAATGTTGCTGCACGATAAACTGTTCTAGAAGTTATTGTGATAAACGATAATATTGTTGTTTTCCTGTAATATAAGGGTAATTATAAAGATCAATAAACTTTAAATTCTAATGAACATTTAACACTGGAACTGGAAGACATTTTAAACATCCAAAATACATAAACAAAACAACAGAAAAAACAAATAAAATTAAAACATAAATAGAAAAATGCTGGTAGAGACGAAGCAGCAGACTGAAGACTTTTATCATTCAGTTTTTGGTAGAATTACTTATTACCTCATAATAAATGTTTCCACCCATGGCTAAATTCAGATGGTATGAGGTTGGCATTTATGCTAAATAAATGTAACAATTATTGAATATGTTATTTTCCATTTTCTGTAGCATTGTCTGAAGGGTCAGAGGTCAGACTGTTGGTGGAGTCGTTTGCTGCTGTCGCTGATCGTTTCGCTCTTTAGGCACGCTAAACTGTCGGTGGTAACTGAAGCTGTGAAGAAGGCGATGCAGCTGCAGAAGGACTTTCCTGACTTCCTGGCCGGTTTTGACCTGGTGAGGTCCAACAGGAGCCGCTGAGTGTAGAGCTGCTGGTTCTGGTTCTATAACGTCTGCGTGTCCAGGTGGGCCGGGAGGACCAAGGCAAGACGCTGTGGTACTTCAGGGACGCCCTGGCGCTGCCTGCTGAGAAAGGCGCCACGCTGCCGTACTTCTTCCACGCCGGAGAGACGAGTGAGTCCCGGTCAGACAACCTAGACCGCGCCTCATTTAACCCAGATTATAAATGTTGGTTTATTTTATAAGTTCAGTTGCTCAGCCGAGCAAATTGTTGTCACAACTACAGAGGAGCAAAAAGTATTTCCACACTTACAGATTCTTCTTCTTCTTCTTTTGTTTTCTCACGCTAAAAATTTCCAATCATCAAACAAATAATAATGGATTTAAAAAAATCTGAGTAAATAAGCAGTTATGGGCATAAAGTTTGTTACACAAATTAACAGCAATACTTTTGGTTATTTTGTTTTCAGAGGGTAAAACAAATGGGGTTCAATTTTCACCATTATTGTTCATTCACTTTTAAATGTCAGTTTCAACATAAATACTTAGTTGTTAAGCTACATATTTAGCTACAGGTTCAGTTAGAACATGTAGCTGTTGGTTTATAATTCACTGACCCACTTGCTAAATATTTAATTTAAAGCTAAATAATTTTCTGGTCAACTAAATAATTGGCTCAGCTGTTTTAGTTTGTAGAGCCAAATATCTAGTTATATTTAGCCTTGAAATGAAGGTTTAGTTTGATAACTAAATATTCAGCTTGCTGACTGAGCTCAGCCTTCTTAAAAATGTAGAATAATGAGTCATTTTATGATTTATAAAGAGCTGATTACATGTTCAGTTGGTTTGGAGCTTTTTTTTTTTCTTTAAGTGCTGAAAACTGCTTTTATTATTCACTCTTATCCAATAGTAATAGTTATTAGCGTCTTAAGTGTGGCTGAAATGAGAAGCTCCTTTAAGAAGCTGATTGGTTGATGACTTCATTTATGCTGAATAAGCAGTAATTAATCTGACCTGCAGATATTATTTTTCATGCATGTTAATCTAAACCTGAGCTGTTAAAAAAGAAGTGGAAAATAAAACCTGATGTTTTTTAAAACAAAGGTTGATTTCATTTAAAAAGAAATGCAGCCATTAAAATAATTGGAATAATATTCCATGTAACTGACTTTGTAACTTAGTTTGGCTCAAATGTCGTCGTGAAGGAATAAAATGAGATTCTGCATAAATAATTCAGAGTTCCTCCAGGTCCAGATTAACGTAAATCTGTCATTCAGAGCAGAAGGAACTGAAATGATGTTGTGCTGTGAGCAGACTTTGAGGGAACTGAAGTGGATCAGAACCTGCTGGACGCTCTGCTGCTCAACACGTCGCGCATCGGCCACGGGTTTGCGCTGCAGCGCCACCCGGTGGCCAAAGATCTGTCCAGGAAGAGGCGTGTGGCTGTGGAGGTGTGCCCCATCTCCAACCAGGTACTGCTGCTGAACATCTCCCACAATGCATCTCTTTACATCATTTCAGATTCATTTAGGCCTATAATCCATCTTTATAACACAGAATTATTGCATTTGATGCTCAAGGATTAGATAAAATCCAAAATTCAGTTTGAGAGACAATTAAAACATCAGACCCTTTAAATGTCATACTAACAAATTACTCAAATCATACTTAAAATCTCTGCATGTAATGAGTCTATATTAAGTTCTCTTAAAATTGAATTATTTAAATTAATTACATTTGTTTCTGAAATAACAGGAATAGTATTAGAAGGTTATTGATCTATAATCTTTTCTTTTCAGGTGGATTTAGTATCTTTGTCATCAGATAAAGAAAGGGGTTTCCAGACAGAGCAGCATTATTTTTATTTTTATTAATGCATTTCATGCCCAGTGAATTGAATTACTGTCGCTTCTGTTGATGCCGTGACCCCGTGACCTCTGACCCCTCCAGGTGCTGAAGCTGGTGAAGGATCTGCGGAATCACCCCGCCACCGCTCTGATGATGGAGGATCACCCGCTGGTCATCAGCTCCGACGACCCGGCCATGTTCGGCTCCTCCCCGCTCTCCTCCGACTTCTACGAGGCGTTCGTGGGTTTCGGCGGTGTGAAATCCCACGTCGGCTCCCTGAAGCAGCTGGCCATAAACTCCATCAGGTGGCGCTGCGCCCGGACGGTTCCCACTGGGCCTGCGGGTCGCGGTCTGAACTTTCCTGTCTCTGTTTCAGGTTCAGCGCTTTGACGCCGAAGCAGCAGGAAGAGGCGCTGGTTCTGTGGCAGAGGAAATGGACCAAGTTCGTGGCTAAAAACCAAGTTCTGAAGACCAACTAGAAAGTTTTTCTGTCATGATGAATTTTTTCCAGCGGTGCAACTGGAACAGATGATCCTCAACACGTTCAGAAATAAACCCAAACAGCTGCTGCTTCAAGGGAAACACTGATTATTTTCAGTAGAAAATGTGAAACTATTGATTATCTGCTCCTCGGACCGACATTAGTAGTACATCCTCTCAAATGTAATAAAAACATTTAACACTGGAACTGAAAAAACAGATTAAATATCAAAAATAAACAAATGAAGCAATAATTAATGATTATAAATGTCTGTAGCCAAAAGTGGGTTTCAAAAATGAATCATTTAACCATTTTGTGTCATATCTGTTTCTCCCTTAAAAATAGTTTTTTAAATCTCAGCGGGTTTTATATTGGTAAAGTAAAAGTTTAAAAACTAAATAAAAATTTTAATGAAATTGAGCATGGACAGGGAAAACAGGCAAAAGTGGCAGGAAACACTTTTGTTAAAAAATAAAAAAGCAAACCATCGACTTCGTAGCGGGTGTGAAATGCAGCATCTTTAATGTTGTCCAAGCAGAAGAAGCTCATTTTGGTTTATGAAGCTGCCAACCACTGCTGCTGAGTTTTCCTTTAACCTCGTTAGTATTCAGGGTTTTTCTGGTACGGTCGTGTATGACTATTGTGTTCAAGTTGTGCTAAAAACATTTGTATCAGAGACGCTATGCTGGCTTTTCTAGAGCTGCTCCATGAACGATCAGAGAAACTCTGGAAAGCTGAATGACTAGAATAAAACTTTTCTCCAATCTGATGGTTGAAGAACAGATTAAAAACTATAAATATCTTTGCTGTTGAGATCCCGTCTGTTTATTCAATAATTTAGCAGGAAAAATGTTTTTTTTTGTTGCTGATTTTGTCAATAGTTTAATAATTCAAAGCAGTGAAGTTGATTTAAACATTTTGTGGAGTGCTCTTGTGTAAAAATAAATCGGAAACAGTTTATTTCAGTTTAATGTCTGATCGTCTCGCGGCGCTGTGACGTCACCGTGCGTCATCTGGTGCAGGTGTTGAACTGGGCGAAGAAGCTGTCGTCGATCCGCCCCCTCTTCAGGTCTGGCCTCCTGGAAACGAGATGAGAGAGAAAACGTCAGTCTGCGGTGAGAAGGCGCTGGTCACGGCTCTGCGGACGCCACTGACTCCTGCAGCCGAATCTGGGCCAGCTGAGCGTTGACGCTGTCCAGGTGTTTCCTCAGCTGCTTGTTCTGCTTCTCCTGCAGCCGCTCCAGCAGCAGGGCGCTGCGGGCCGAGTCCAGCAGCAGCCGGTCCTGTTCCTCCTCCCGCTGATTCCTCTCCCTCTCCAGCCTCTGCAGCACAGACGCACCCACGCGATGTTAAAGGTCCAGGTCGTGTTTTCCAGCAACACAGAGTCACTTCATAGCACAAGCAAACTGTTACCTTCAGCTCTTAAGAAAATCCTGAATATATCAAATATGACTTTCTGATTTAACACCTTGAAATTGGGCCTCTGTCTCTTTAAGAAGCTCCTGCTCTTTCTGAAGCTCCGCCTCCAGGAAGTCATCCCAACATGGCTCCTCTATTAACCCTTTAACGTTTTTACCAGCGTAGTTCTGAGCAGCAGCTCCTATAATGAGCTCAGCAGCTGTTTGCTAATTGCTGCTGGCTAGTCTGAAGGAGCTGAGTGGGGAGGAGCTGCGTCTCGAAGGCGGGGTTAAGTCCACCGAGGCGTTTTGAACAGCTGAATGGTTGCCATGGAGATTAAAGAATCAACGCAACACTCCAGGTTTGTTTTTTAGTAGGGAAAAACACTAAAATTTGACATGAAGCTAAAAAAAATTTGATTTTACATAATATTGCCTCTATGCCTGTCACAATAATAAATTGTTCCAGAAGTTATTGTGATAAGTGATTATATTGTTTTGAGACCATTTTGCAGTAATCTAATGGAAATGGCACAATAATGCAAGAACAAATAGTCAAGAATAAACTTTAAATTCTAATGAACATTTAACACTGGAACTGGAAAACATTTTAAATATCCAAAACAAAGTGAATCATGAAGTCTCTGTAAACAATGTTATTCTTCAAAAAACGGCTCGTTAAGACCAAAGAATCGTTTTAATTCATTGTTATCGGATCTGGTGCTAAACCTCAGATATCAGAAGTGGAAACGCGGATCGGTGGATCAGAGACGTGTCTGGAAAGGATCCGTCCTCAGCTGGACGGATCGGGTTCAGGTCGTTTCCTACCTTCTTCTCCAGAACCTGTTGCAGCTGGAACTGGGTGACCTGCTGCTGCGTCTCTGCAGGATCCTTTCTGTTGGCGCCGGGATACAGGGCCGGGATGCTCAGGGCGCCCAGAGCCACATCCTCACGCTGCTCCCGTTCCCGGTTCGTTTTCTCAACAAGCTTGTTGAGAAAAACAGAAAATAAAGAAGTAACTCTGCCTGAACCCTTCAAACAAAACTTTACACGTTTAAGATGGAAAAATCCTCAAGCAGCAGTTTTAGCTCCACCTGGTTCAAATTCTGTAAAATTCTCACATTAAGCACCTTTTTCCATCCAATTATGGATAAAATATAATCACCAGATCAGTTCTACGTTGTATCGATGTTCAGTCCAGCAGAAAAGCCTGAACTTTTCACATGTTGATGGTTTTTCTGACCAAACGTTCAATAAAGGAATGTTGCTACATTTTAGGCAATAAAATATTTATTTTCTTGTTTAAAAAGGAATGTAATTATTTGTTTGTTAGCATTTTCTTAATGTCTTTGAATTTACAAATAAGCTCAAGTGGTTGAATGACAGAATCATGATTATTTCACTAATCAGTTCATCGATTAATCCATTTTGCTTCTTTAGGCACATTCTGCACATTTTTTATTTACCCAATTAAGCCTTTTTATACAGTATAAGGAATACATTAAAAGATAAAAAGGTGACTAATTTTAGATTTTTAAAGCTAAAACTGCCACTGCAGAAGTTCCAGGTAGAACAGATTAACAGAAAAATAAGTTTTTTAATCTTAAAGGCAAAAATGTTTATAGTTTTGGTCCAGGTTTGGCTAATTGCTGCTCTGACTGTCTTATTATTTCAGGAAATAGCCTTTTTTAGAGTCTGTATTTCTCCAGTTAACGATTAATCGATTACTAGATGAGTTGATGATTATGTCAATATTTGATTAATCACAGTAAATCGTTTCCACCTTTGGTCATGAATGAAGGGAGACGTCTGACCTTTGCTGCGTTGTAGTTTGCGTCGTCGATGAGGTCGGCTTTTCTCTTCGCCATCTCCAGGTTGTGGAGCTCCATGGCTCTGCGGTCCATTTCCTGTCTGTGCTGGTCGTCGAGCAGCGCTAACGGACGAACAGAACCGTCAACACGCTAATGCACAATTTTAAACTTTTTACAAATAACATCTTATTACATATTTGTTGAATCTGTCACTATCAGTATAAGACAGATAATCTGTGGAAATAAACCAATCAGAGCCAGGAGGCGGGTCTTAGCGCTGTCAATCAAATTGGTGTCACAGAAAAGTCCAACGCCGTTCCTGAACAGTGAAACATTGTTGCAGTGCTGCAGCCAAACGTATTTTGATGCTGCTGCAGAATACTGCGGTGCTTTTACTATTGTGGCTCCTCCTGCTCTCCTCTGTGTTGCAGAGCGTAGCCAATGCTAGCCTAGTTAGCACCGCCATCAATGACAGCAGATAAACGGTTTTCCTGTAACAGTGAGTTGTTTCTCCATCATTAGCATATTTAGCAGCACGTACATATGTTTGATTAACAGCACTGAGCTCCTCCTTCTGGCTCTGATTGGCTGAAGCTCAGTAGAGATCTTTCTTTTCACAGATCATGTGGCTCGTATTAAACTGTCCAGACATGGCGACAGTTTTAACAAATCTTGTTTGAACATATTTTGTTTGTGAATATTGCAGCTTAACCTGTCTGTCACTAGAGGACCCAAATTTGGGTCCTCTAGTGACAGAGGTGTCAAACTCCAGTCCTCAAGGGCCGCTGTCCTGCAACTTTTAGATGTGCCTCTGCTGCACCACACCTCAAAAGAATAATTAGATCATTAGCAAGGCTCAGGAGAACCGATCTACACAGGGAGGAGATAATTAAGCCATTTCATTCCACTGTTTTTTACCTGTGGCACATCTAAACACTGCAGGACAGCGGCCCTTGAGGACTGGAGTTTGACACCCCTGTCATTGTGAATGACAACCTGAGACCAACAGGTTAAAGCCCGCTCACCATCGATCTTCTTCTGCAGCCGTTTCTGCTGCAGCTCGTTCCGCTGCTGCAGCAGCCAGTCCCTCAGCTGCTCCTGCTGCCTCTGCTGCCGGATGCCGGACTCCGGGTCCTCGCCCAGCAGGCCCGGCAGAACCATCTGGGACTCGGTCTTCTTCAGGGCGTCCGGGTCGTTGAGGTCGAACTCGCGGCGGCTCTCAGGGTTCTGGTTCTGGTGCCAGAACACGGCTCGGGCCTGGTGCGCCGAGCGGTCCGCCGCCTCCTGCCGCCTCTGGAGGAGACACGCTGCTCGGTTGTACTGCTTCACATCAGCATCTGTGTAGAAACAAAAATGTTACGAAAGGCTACCGTCATAATTGAATCATTTTTGAGATAAATATGCTCTAATTAAAGCTGCAATATGTAAATCTGACTTTACATAATTGTTAAAACCATCACCATGTGGTGACAGTTTAATCTGCGACAGATGATGGGGGCATTTATTTATCATGAATAATTCATCATGATAAGAATTATGATTCATTGTTGTCATGATAAAGTCATTTATTTATGATAAACAAATAAAAATAAGAGTGACAATATGATCATTTTTGCTGTTTTCTTCACTTTTTGTTCCACCAGAGCATCAATAAATATCAGTAAATTTGAAAATATGATTAAATGTTTGCAGTTTAGTGACATAAACCACACTATGAGGAAGACTGGAGCTTTTCCAAGAACAATATTTATGTTTGTTCAGTTATTAAGTCATTTACCTAAGAAATAAGAAGTTTTAACAATTTTTAACGTTATCAATAGTATCTTTAAAATATTAAGTCCACATCACCCCCACCTGACAGATACTCTGTGAACAGATAGTCTGAAGAAATGCACCACTCCCGACCAAAAACAACCAATCAGAGGCCGGAGGCCTCTGATTGGCCTCCGGCCAATACACAGGATGCTGCATACACAGCATCCTGTGTATGCTGTGTATGCAGCATACACAGCATCCTGTGTATGCTGCATACACAGGATGCAGCATACACAGCATACACAGCATCCTGTGTATGCTGTGTATGATTGACAGCATACACAGGAATGCTGTCAATCATTCCTGTGTACGTGCTGCTGAATTTGCTAATGGCGGAGAAACACAGGAGCAGTGCACACAGGCATGATTGACATCGCTAAGACCCTCCTCCTGGTTCTGATTGGTTGTTTTTAGTTAGTCATGGGAGAAGACAGAGGAGCTCATTTTTTTCAGGTTATGTCTCATACTTCCGACACGATGCAGTGAGACAGATATGCAAAAATATGTAATAAATGTTAAATACTGCAGCTTTAAAGGCAGAAGCAGGTCATTTACTCACTGTGAGCATCTTCTTGATTTTTTAATGCTGCTTTTCGTCTCAGCTTCTCGATCACCTGCAGATCTAAAGCTTCTTTATCCACCTGTGAACCGGATCAGTGGATCATCACACATTCGACTTCCCTCAAAAACACCCATTGTTTTCACTGATGTATAACAAAGCTTTTAAAGTTCCTGCGATTATTGATAACCTAGTCCAGATTTGAATCTAAGGTGTACCCAATGCTGTAAATATTTACTTTGAATAAAACGACACTTTACATATCTCAAAGTGCACTTTAAATATTCTCCACGAACTGTTAAACAATCTTGAACTAGATATGATCAAAAGCCGTCAAGGTCAACTTAAAAGTTAGATTTCCTTTTAATTTTGCATCAAATAAGGATCTTTGATACAGCAGAACTCGGCCTTATCAGCCAGAGGTCATCAAAGACTCGTTTGGTAGTTAAAAGATGATTTTTTTGCGCTTGTGGCGCCCCCTAGACCCTCTCGCCCTGGGCAGTAAGCCATAAAACGGTGTATATTTAGCGCTGGTGCCATTTTATCCTCGGCTCTAGCAGAAACTCACCCCAATAGTCCTGAATTTATCGTTAAAAATCCTCCCCCGCCTTTCCGCCTCATAGTTCCGGCGCCGCTCCGCGCTCTCTCTGGCTTTTCGTTCGCGAGGCAACTCCACCTGAAACATTTCTGACTCGGAAGCAGCCTTCACCTTCTTCTCTCACACTGAAAACAAACTGGTTGCTAGGTAACAAGAGATTCACGAGCTTACGGAAAACGACGCCGCAGCCGCTACGTTGTACGGTACGTCAGCGCGTCCGCCATGTTGTGAGGGGCAATGAGGCCAAATCTGAACTAGATGACGGAAAGTTTTAGAACATCTCAAAACGTCCACGGTAAAAGTTTAGCTTTCAGGTCTGGGAAGAACTCATAGTTGGAGGAAGGAAGAAGTACATTTCATCAGCTCATTCCCTTGACTTAACCAAATTTAAACACAAATTTAAAAGGAGCAGGAAGAAAAACATGTAGAAACCTGCCCCTTTTAATAAATAAATATTTTTTTCATAGCCATGTACATTAAATTAAAGCTGCAAACAATGTTATTCCATTTATTATTCACTGTTTTGAATTGATTTGTAGTAGAGCATTTTTAACTCCTAAAAAATGTTTCGCAGCTATTCTCTATGCACATTTGTTTTAATGTTTTACTTTGGAAATCCCACTTCCTTTTGTCATCGCCATCAATTGATTTTAAAACAAAAACATTTTAACTGGCAATAATCTCCTCATCAGTTCTTCCAAAACCTCAGATTGAGATTAATTAAAAAAAAGTCAAGAAAACAAAAAAACTGAAATTTTCTGATGTTAAAAGTCATATTTGTGGAATTTAAAAACAGAATTTTCCATTTATTTCAGGAAAATAAGTTAAATTAATCTCAAACTTCTGATGTGAAAATCTTAAATTTGTGGGGGGGAAAAGTCCACTGTCCAATATTTGATTCAGTGTTTTCTGATATTATGAAGTCAAAAAAATCTCTGAACCTTGCAGATTTTCAGTCATATTTCTAACAAAAAGGGTCAATTTCTCTAAATTTTAAGTTGTAACTTTATGAAATGTGCTTTGATATTTCAACATTGATATCAGAACTTCCTATTTTTTTAGTTTTTTTTTCACAATGTATGACTTTTCACCCTCTGAATTTTATTTTTCTTGAAAAGTGATAATTCTTAAGAGCATTTTAAACGCATCAAAATGTCAATTTTACTATTATAATAAAGAAACGTTTGACTGAATTTGTGAAAAACTTTTTTTCTACTCCTGTTATGAAACCAAAATGAAATACGACTGCAGCTTTGCTGTAGTTGTAGTAATAAAATAAATAAACTGCCACTTTTAAAGTTTTATTTTCACACAGAACTAAAACATATTTGAACCGCAGGTGCAGCCACACTGTGCCGTCCTCTGGGCGCCAGACGGGACACAAGAAAAACCCAAAACTCAAAGAAACATGTAAACAACTTTACAATTTTTAAATTTTAACATTTTCTATTTAAAAAAAAAAACACTTTAAAAGAGGCAGACATTTAAATATTCCTGCAGGGACAGTTTTTATAAAAATAAACCCAAATTAAATTTCTCATAGTCGTGAAGGTTATCTGAAACAAACACGCCAGATTCCTTATTCATCAACATTTTCTCAGGTAATAAAGCACAAACTTTTTCACCTTTAACTTCTCCAAACAGTATTTGGTTGTTTTTTCTTTTTAACAGCATTTTGTAACAGAAGTCTTTCATTCGTCGCTCAGATCCTCGCAGAGCTGAAAATGACGGTTTGTCCCTTTAAAAGGTGAAACCTGCTGAAACCGTCAGCCTGTTGGACACAGCAGCTTTAAAAACCAGCTGTTCGAGGAAGAAAAGCTTCAGAGGCTGCAAATGGACAATTGTTGGTTTTTATATGCACCAACACTCACATTATTGATATGAAAACAAAATAAATATTTAATCTCCCCTTCATCTAATTTACAAAATGATTCCATTTCATATACAGTAAAATAAATCCATAAAACTTATATTATTTTCTTTAACATTTTATGCATAGAGCTTTAACGACCCGTTGGGCTGCACCTCAGGTTGGTTTAAAAGTCTTTAATGACGTTTTGGATCTTCCACCGCTGGCCGGTGCATTCCTGGATCACCAGAACCCTGTTCACCATTTCCAGGCATCGCTTCGTCTGACGGTTCTTCAGCTCTTTTCCCTGGAACACAATTTAAAAAAGGGTCAAAAACAAGAAAGCTTAAGAGTTTACAGTGAGCCTGAACTGGTTCTGAGGTCCAACCTGGGTGAAGTCCCAGTATAACCCCATTCCTTTCTGCATGGCCTCTTTGCAGTTGAACAGACCCGGCTTGGTTTTCTTCTCCCCCCTGTCAGTCAGACAGCGGTTGTCGTTGTACTTGTGGGACTTGATGCCGCCGATGTACATCTCACCAGTTCCCCGGTAATAGGCCATCTGGAATAGAGACGGGAGAAACGGAGAGATCAGTGACGAAGAACAGTTTCCTCCCACATTCCTGTTGTTTTTCCTCACACTGAAATGTTTCAGATTATCAAACTAATTTTATTAGACAAAAATAAGACGTGGTTTTAAAATAATGAAACTATTAAAGTGTAACTAACCCTGCTGTGAAACCATAAACCGATTTTCTTTTTTGGGTTGTTGTTCATGCTGCTAATTAAATGCGACTGAACGGTTTCCGATCCCAAAGCAACCAGCAGATGCAGAAGAAGAACGTAGCCATCACCCTGCGGCGCTCTGTAAAGATGGCCGCCGCCATCTACGGATGAATTTTAAAGGTGTCATGCTTCTTGATCAGGTTAGGATCAGTCTATGGGTTAAAAACATTATTTAGCCCAAAGTCATTCTTGGACAATGAGATTTTACTTTGCTCAGTTCTGCCTATTTTGAGCTGTTTAAAGGCCTCTGTCACTTTAAATCCAAATAAGCTGCTGCTGGCCACGCCCCCCAATTCAACACATGTGAAAATGGCTGCAAACAGATGAGCAGTTTTACAACCGCATATTTTTGAAAAGCAGAAGTGACGTCTCCTGGACAGCCAACCAGAATGCAGCAAGCGGTTTCTGGATGGTTAGTCAACAACAGAACTCTTGTCTTTTCCAGCAGCCGTTGTACAGTGCATATGGCGGCAAAACCAGCTGAACAAATGTGCTGGAACTGGACAACGGGGACTGCCCTGCTGATTTGTGACGTTACATTCCAGATGTTTTTGAAAGGACTCATTTTCCAGTCACCAAAAAGAAACATTTCATTACAAAAAGTGGCTGGGTGTTTTTTAAGCACTTTGGTTGTTTTCAGAAGGAGTAGAAACTGAAATGGAAATAAAAACATCATAGGTGCCCTTTAAACTTCTGAATCTGAAGTTCTGCAGGCCTCACTGCACCAGTTAAGGTCAAAGGTCATGAAGTGACTGTGGGAAAAAGGCCTCCGTAGGACCAGAACCACGGCTGACCCAAAGGAACATAAAAACTCGCCTCACATTTACCAGAAACATCTTGAAGATCCTCAAGACTTTGATAGCATTTAATAAAAACCTGAAGTTTATTTTTACTCAGATTCTGTTTTTCTGATGTTAAAATTTATTTGTTGATCTGAAAAATTTAAATGCAACAAAAAGAAAATCTGTAAGGGAGTGAATACTTTCCACCGGTACCGACCGCTTCTCTTACCTGCGGTCCGTAGTAATGGCAGTCGTAGGAAATGGGCGTGTCGCCGGGGACCGGACCTTGGTCGATGCACAACTCAGAGTCCAGGTTCTTCAGCTGCCAACAGAGGAAGAGGAGGGTGAGGAAGACGCACGGCTCCATCCGGCCGGAGGCGAGCAGCAGCTGCTTACCGCGCCGTAAGCCAGCAGGTTGTCCCAGGGGTCCAGCTTGGGGTAAATGTTGTCCAGGTACCACTTGAACGGTTTGCAGTTCAGTCGTTCTCTCAGTTTCTTCCTCTCAGAAATGTCTCCGATGTCGATACCGTGATTCTGCACAGAAAACAAAACGGATCCGTCTGCCTGAAATCTTCACTCACTGCAATCTGACCCGTTTTAAAGTAAAACAATCTGCAATCAGCACATCAGGGCTGCTACTATCGATTTCTAATCAACTTTTCTGATGATCAGTCGGATAAAAAAATTGCCACGTTCTGCATATTTTTCATTTATCCACTTAAATCCACTTCACACATTATTAGAAATACATTAACAGATGCAAATAATTCAATTACTGTTTTTAAATAAAAAAAAAAAACATTTTGCATAAAATGCAACATTTCCAGAAAAAGATGGAAAAAAAAAATTAGGATTTGTTTTTTTTAATCTACAAAGAACTACAGAGGTCTGACTGCTTTGCTTATTCAGTTAAGATATTGTAGGTTTATTTATTTCACAATGTATAATTGTTTTTGCAACTATAATTAAAATTTGCAACTTGACATTTTGTGCCAAAACATTTGGACGCCACAGTTCCAGTCCGTCATCAACGAGCCGAGCTGCTGAAGTTCTTCAAAGAATAAAAACGTGACCAATCTGTCTGCTTATTGTTTTACATGTTTTTTTCTTGTTTATGTAGATCTTAGATGGGATTTAATGAAGAAGAAAATGATGTAAAATTCCTTGCAAATATTTCTAAAATGGCCCCACAAAACGTGATTTTGGTTGGGAAAAAATTAAAAAACATAAAATCCCGGCGGGACTGACCAGAACACGCCGCTCACGGTGGCAGTTTGTTCTCTGGTTCTGATTCTTTTCCATTCACAGCGACTCTTCAGATACTTTAATACAACCTGGGTTTTTTTTTAATTGAATTAAAAACCGAACCTGATCCAGTCAGGTAATGAAGCCCGTCACAGACATGGCGGTGCAGCTCCTAACAAAACGTTTCTGTGTAATGATTCTGGGACAAGCAGACGGTAGTTTTGCGCTTGATAGGTACTTTTACTTGATCCTACATAAAAGAACTACAGACAACGTATATGAATTTTATGGCCAAGCTTTTGCAAAAGGAGAAAAACTCCGTCAACTGCTCCTCTGAGCTGTTCACAGAGCGTTCTGGTCTGCTTCAGCGTGAGCCCCTGTTTTATTGTCAAAGAAAACAGTCAAGGGAGCAGTCAAGAAAAACAACAGAGGTCGTAAAACTTCTAACCTAAACAACTAGCAACCCAGCTCCAGGTGTGATATCTGATCTATGGTCTGAGCCCGGTTCAAATCTCGGTCAAACTGTTAACAAGACAAAATACGACTGCTCACAGGCAGTTAGGAGGTATTCTGGTTGATAAGAATTAAGGTCTGAGAAACACAGAGTTAACTGTTTCACATGAAGATGAAACAGATGGTCCTGACCTCCAGGTCAGTTCATACACACATAAGGAAGAGAACACTTTAAACAGACTGAATGTGAACTAAAGTAATAACAAAATGATAATACCGAAAAATCTCTAACATATCCTTTCTCTATTGGAGAGCTGAAAAGAGCTTTGGATAGAACTAGGAATAGTGCTCCA